AAGGCTGTGCTCTTTGATCTTCATCAGTATTTTAAGCCCTCCTCACTTTCAGCAAGCAAGGTTGTATCATCTGCATATCGCAGGTTGTTGTTCATGAGTCTTCTTCAATCCTGATGCTTGCCTTGATGGCTCTTAAATGGGGGATAATTTTTGACCTGTTGATGGAGAAATACCATCATTTATTTCTCTCTTGCACAGACTTAAGTGCCGTCAAGTCTGTTCTGACTCACAGCAACCCCATATAGTGTTTCTGAGAAGTGACTGGGGGGTTTGAACCACCAACCTTGCAGATAACAGTTCAGTGCTCCCTCCACAAGCTTAGTCACTGGGATTTCATTATTGTTTAAGTCGCATATTGACTTTTGAACGTCTCATTGCTTGCCCAGTGTATACCACGCACACTTGCAAGGTGTTCATGTTTTTTCTCCTTTAAAATCTGAACTCTGTAAGGCAGAGTTAGATTGGCCGTCCACACTTTACAAACAAGAGGCTGGAAGGCAGGAAACAGACATGATTTGTTTGAGGTTATGCAAGTGTTAAACTGACCCAGAGGGAAAATGTCAAAGTCAGTGGGGGCATTTAAACTGGGGTGATCCTTCAGTTTTCTGAAGGATTACCAATCCATCATTGTAATCTCTGACCAAGGTTTCAAAATGCCACATAGCTGAGGGAGGTGACAGTCTGGTTATTCATGTGTATGTTTGTGGCCAGTGAATGCAACAGGAGGGTAGAGTCCTACCCAGAGTAAGACCGCCAAGGTTTTATGCCCCCTCACTCTCTGTGGGCCCTCCATCCAGGCCAGTGCATGCATGTGACTGGGATGCCGGGCAAAATACCAGGAAACATAGGTAACATTTGACCCCAAACCTAAAATCCATCATTATTCTCAAAGAATTTAAATCTCGCACTCAAAGCACTTGGAAAGTGGGGGGTCCTTGAAATGTGTTGATAAGTACTATGGAGTCAGTTTCATCTCTTTGTGGGAGCCGAAAGCCTCCTCTTTGTATTATGAAGTGACTGGGTGGTGGGCTGGAACCACAGTAAATACAAATATTTCCTACCATTGTTAAGTGAGTCAGTTCGAACTCATAGTAGCCTTGTATAGGGTTTCTGAGGAGTGGCTGGTGGGTTTGAACCGCCAACCTTGTAGTTAACAGTCCAGTGCTTATCCTACATTGCTACACCAGGATTCCCATTACCCTTTTATTTTTTTTTTTAAATTACAACAGTAATTTAGCTCACATCAACAATACTAACACACTTACATAAAGCTGATCTCCCCATCCAGTACGACCCCACCTTCACCTCCCAGGTAACCAGTGTTAGCAGTTCAATGTTCTCTGTTCATACAAACAACCATGTAGTTAGTATAGGAGTGTATGGTTTGGGATATTATACAAATTAATCTATTTGTTGCCTTTTAAAAGCAGTGTATCTTGTCTCCAGCCCAACATCTATAGGTCTGACATTCCAGCAGTTGTATTATCATTATTCAACGCTGCTCCTGTTGATGGGCATTAATATTTCCATAAACATGTTTTAATCCTTCGCGTGGTGGCTTCACTGAAGTTCCTTAAGGAGAGTTCAGTGTCGCAAAGTCCGTTCTGCCTCATAGCGACTCTATCAATATAGGGTTTCCAAGGAGTAGCTCGTGGGTTTGAATTACTGGCCTTTCAGTTAGCAGTCCTGTGCTTATTCTACAGTGCCACGCGTCAGCAAATTCAGCATTGAGAGCACAAACCTCATTTGGCTAATGTGTGTATGTGACTGGGAAGACAGAGCAGGAGAAAATGAACAATACAGTCGAATATGACCAAAATGCTCTTACTTGCAAAAGGTTGCTGTCAAGTCAGTTCTGACTCATAGCGACCCTGTATAGGGTTTCCAAGGAGCAGCTGGTGGGTTTGAGCTGCCGACCTGTAGTTTGCAGGCCACACAGATGGTTGGTGTTGTTAAGTGCCCTCAGTCGGTTCCGACTCATAGCGACCCTGTCAAAGTTGAGTGCGCACGGGCGGAGAGACGTCGCAACGAGGTTCCCACCTCCAACCGCGCGGGGGCGCTTCGGAGTCGACATTGCGGCTTCCGCAGGCGCCCAGCCCGCCCGGGCTCGCCCCACGTCCGGATTGGCTGCGCGACGGGCGCGCGCAGAGTCAGGGGGCGGGCCCGCGCTGGCTACAAAGCACTGCGAAGGTCACGGCGCGGGGGGCGCGCGCCGCCGCCGCCGTTCTGCTCCGCCCGCTTACCGCTGGGCCCGCCTCGCCCGCCCGCCTGCCGCTGGGCCCGCCTCGCCCGCCCGCCAGCCATCCCGCGTGGGAGCCATGGAGGGAGTGAGCTCGCTGCTGGCCGGCTGCCCCACTGCCGGCCTGGCCGGCGGCCTGGGGGTCACAGCATGCGCCGCGGCCGGCGTGCTCCTCTACCGGATCGCGCGGAGGTGAGTGCGGGCCCGTGCCGAAGGCCCACGCGGCCGCCCCGCCCGCTCTCCCGGGCCTGTCGTCGTGGGTCCCCCGCGTGGTGGCTGCCAGGCAGGCGGCCCCCGCATGCGCCATCCCCCAGATTACAGGCTGCAAAGACGCCTCTGCCCCAGGATCCCGCGGAGGCCGTGGAGTCGCGCTGGGGAGCCGGCCAGCTCGGATGCGCTGAGACTCTATACACCCCCTCCTCAAAACGAGTCAGAGTTCGGAATCCTTGTTCGGGAGGGACTGATGAGCCTGGCTTGAGGTCGGGAAGCATTCAGAGTGAATATGGGTACTCCAGAATGTGGGGTGCCGGCGAGAACACCCACAGAGCTCCCACGCAGGATCCGCAGCCCCGCCTACCCACACGCACACCCAGGCGATCCGAACTGCAGAAGCATCTAGCGGCCGCACGAAGGCAGATGCGCACCTCTGGTCTTTGGTCCCCGGCAGCACCCTGGGGATGTCCGGGCATTGTTCTAAAGCCCTCCTGCTAGCCTTTTCCATAGTCTCCGCCCCTGCCTTCCTAGAAGGACTGAGAGACCCAGAGATAAACTAAATGGTTAAGTAGAAGAGCCAGCTCTGGAATCTGAAATCCATGCCTCCACCCCCCCTGCCTGGGATACTTCAAGGGACTTTATAAGAGGAACTGAGCTAGTTCAGTGGCAGCCCCCAGCCCTGCTGGACGCCATCTAGAGATCATTCATGCTGATTCCCACATTTGGAACTGACCTCTCATCAGCCTTTCTGATCTTTGAGGGAAATTTAACGGTGTCTTGCCTCAGCAGAGCCTCAGGGAGAATGGACTGTTTCCCCCACCTTCCCAGGGAGTAGGGAGAAAAGGCCGGGCCTGGGGACATCCCAGGGACAGAAATGGGTAGAGTTGCAGCTTTGTTCAGGGGATGCTGGACTCTTACGTGAAAGTGACAGGACTTGCCCAGGGTCACTCAGTGGCAGGTGGTGGAGCTGGGATTTGAACCCAGGCTGTCTGGCTGGTGAGTCTGTTCTTCCTTATCTGCCACCATGTAGTGTACCTCACCTCAAAAGAGGGAAATGAGTGAGTGGGTGAGTCACCGGCTTCTTGGAGGAGGAAAGGGTAGGAGGAACTTGAGCTGGGCCTGGAGGATGAGTGAGACTTGCAGGCTAAGCAAGGGGAGGCTCCTAGGGGAGGGGTCAGGCACACAGGTGAAGCTGGGGGTTCCATAGACAGACCACAGCCAGGACAGCTGGGATCAGGGAACCCCATTTCTGAGAAGCCATGTGTGTACATGCACCAGTCCCTCTCCAGTGTATGCAGGGGCAGAAGGGGATTTGCAGTGCCAGCTGGTCCAAACTGTCCCCTTTGTCTTTGAGAGCACTGAGGTGCCAAGCACAGGTCAGATTTGGGGTCTGCTGGCAACAGTGATGGTCCAGAGCCCAGCCTTTCTCCTGGAAGATGCTGCCTCAGCCCAGGATGAAGTAGTCTCAAAGGTCAATGCCTGGATGGAGCAGAGAGCAGATAAGGCTCTGGGTGGGACCCAAACTCCCCAGTATCATGTGTATAGTGTGGCTGGGTTTGGACTTGGTTCACTCACTGCGCCTTGCACTTCCAGAGGCTTCTTTCCCTCTCAGAGACAGGAATCTGGGTTCTCAGTGAAGTGTTGGGGAGCTGGGTAGCGGAGTCCAGCCATGGTGTGGCATTGCACTGTTGGATGAGGTCTGGAAGGGACATCCTCACAGCTCTGGCTTTCTCCAGAGGTCATGATTCAGTGAGCTTTGAGCCTCCTCCCTCCAGGAAGGCAGCGGGCCAGGGGGACTTGGGATGGTGAGGAAGCTGGCTTTGATGATAGCATTTTGGGGGGCCTTCCAGGGGACACATATGGGAGTTGGTATGGGAAGGTGACTTGGGAGGTAGGATTTTGTGGGTTCTGCACAGGGACCACAGTAGGCAGGGCTGTGACCAGATGTGAAAGGAGAAGCTGGGTGGCACACTGTGGGTCCCTCCTACTACCTTGCTCACATGGCAAAGGGCTGGTGGGAGAGGTCACTTCTCAGAAGGCCTCTGTCGGGGTAGATACCCTCTTCCTGCCTGTGGAGCTCTCTCATCCACACTAATTGTCAATGTGGTTGTTGTAGTTTTTAAGTGAAGTTGAGCCGGTTCCGACTCATAGTAACCCTACATAGGGTTTCCTAGGAGCTTCTGGTGCATTTGATCCACCATCCTTGAAGTTAGCAGTCCAGTGCTTATCCTACAGCACCACACCAGGACTCAGAGTGATAGCAGCCAGCATGTCTCTGCTAGTGATGTACCAAGACCCTGTGCTAAATGCTCACCCACAGCCCGCCCCCAAGAACCCTGGCAGCAGCCTTGTGGGTGGCAGGGGCTACTGCTCTTCCCACTTGACAAGTTGGAGAGGTCTGGCCATCTGCTCTCGACCAACAGCACTGCCCGCCTCCAGCTCGGAACCAGGCCTCATGCCTGAGTTCTCGCTGAGCCCCAGAGTGGCCACCACCATCAGCCCAGTCTCAGATTTGCTGACCCTATGTCCAGGTGCTCATGGCTCCCACAGCTGACCACACTCCCCACCATGACTCCCTCCCAAGTGAGTGTGACCTTGTCCATGCCCTGAGCACATCCCTCCTGTGTGTTCACTGGGATTGTCCACTTTCCATTGTCCTGAACTAAGTACCCAGCTCTGTATGATGCCCTTGTGCTCCTTGCCCCAATAAGTGGCACTGCTCTCTGGGCCTTCACTCATAGCCCGCCTGCCTGAGCACCTTCTGTGTGCCACACTTTAGAACCACTCTAAATGGGCCTCTCTCTGGTGGCATTTGCACCATCTGTTCCATGAGGTTGCCATCTTTTTCCCTGCGTCAAGTTCACAAGTGGACAGGACTCTGCCCATCTTTGCATGTCTGCAGCCTAGCAATTGAACTGAGGTAACTGTGGTGCCCTCCCCCCAGGCAGAGTGTTCCCCCAGGGTGGTGGGTTTGGGGTCCTCTCCTGGTGTCAGAGGGCTGCTGTGGACTGTATGTTTTTCTCTGAGGGGGTTGGCAGGGCCAGGAGGAAGCCCAGCCAGTCCTGTGTACCCAGTTGGGTTCTGTTGCCCAGTGACTGCAGCCCAGGCTGGACAGGTCAGCATGTGTGCTTAGGTTGCTGTGGGGTGGTCCATGTGGCAGGTGTGAGTGCAGAATGAGAGAATGAGAAGCCCACCCAAGGAGCAGGTGTGGCCCCCTCCCCTGTGAGGCTGTCCCAGAATATTCTCTTGGGGCCGACCTCTTACTCCCTGGGCTGCTATGAGGACGAGGCCTGGCTCAGAGAGAGGCCTGATGAGAGGAAGAGGGCTTCTCTAGGAGAACATGGCCTTCCGGAGACTGGGTCACACCAGACTGCCTGATTCCGTGTCTTTCCTCTTGGCACTGCGCTAGGCACACAGCAGGTCCCTGACCCCAAGGACCTGTAGCTGCAGACCTAGGGAGTGGCAGCCAGGCTCCCCAGTCCTGCACGGACGCTGATGGGGATGTCGTTGTTCAGGACAGTGTGTCATGTTGGGCATGGACGTGCAGCCGCCTCTGTGCCCAGAACCCAGCAGAACCTCTGCATTGAGGTGGTGAGTGACCACAGGCCTGCCGCCCAGTGAGGCCCCACCTGTCTTAGTGGCTTTCTTACCTATGTGACAAGGGCATTCTGTCTTATCATCTTAAACCTGGCCACACTGAGCATGGTTTGTCCCAGAGCCTGGTGGGGCTGATGTTGACTTTGGGGAGACAGATGAGTTGAGAGGTTCCTAGAGGATGCAGTTCTCTGAGTGGGAGACAAGTACAGTCTGGAGACCAGGACCCCAGTGCAGCCGGAGGACTGGGCTTACCATTGAGGGTGCTGTTGGTGCATGTTGGGGGCAGGTGGGGTCCCCATTCCCAGCCTGCCTCTAGGACCAGAAGCAATAACTCCTTGTGTTCAGACCCCACCTGGCACTGGGCGGGCAGATTGGGTGAGTGACAAATAGAGAGGCCCCCAGCCCTGGCAGGGATTACCATGGGCTGAGCCCCCACCTCCTGTTCATCCAGGCTCAGTCTGAGACTAGAGCCACTTCCCTGTCAACAGAGCCAAGGATTCAGAGAGAGGAGCCATGGTTGTTGGTCCCCACTAGCATCTCTCCCTGCCCCTGTCCCTGAATCTACTGGTTTCTGACACTCTTGCTTGCCTTCTCAGGTGGGTGGGGTCTAGGACAGGCATGGATGCCGCTAAAGGGGCACAGGGGCCACCACACTGTCCTCCGTCAGGCCTGTAGCCTTCAGGGAGCACAGTGGGGAGGCATGTCTCGGAGGCCCGGGTTGCTACCACAGGACACGCCCCACCCCACAGACCAGAGACGCCTATAAAGCAGGTACAGATTGGCAGCGTATGCCCGGGGTCTCATTGTCTGGGACACTAAAAACTGACTTCCGTTGAGGCCAGTGTCCCGCAGAACAAAGTTCCACTCCGCAGCCCTGGCAGGTGCTTCCTTCCATTACTGTCCTAGGCCAAGGCCAGGCCCCTGAGCTCTTGGGAGCCCTGTGCTGAAGCAGTGGTGGCTGGGGCTGCTAGGGGATGTCCAAGTCCCATCTGAGTCCCTGATATCAGCGCCTCTTCTCCAAGGCCTTTTGGAAGGCAGGCCTACTAATCTACTTCCTAAAGGCTCCAGCCTGGAAAACCCTATGGAGGGAGCAGTTCTACTCTATACAATGGGGTCGCTCTAGAACGAGCTCTGTCATCTGTCCCACAAGCCCTGTGAGATAGAGGTGGTTGTCCCCAGTTAACAGGTGAGGAGACTGAGACTCAAGAACCTGCCATAAATGGTGGGCAGGAGCGGAGGGGCACAGCCAGCAGTGACCTTCCTCCTGGGATGGGATGGGGTCACGGCAGCACTGGCTCCCTCCTGCAGATACCTGCCTGTGGGTTTGTCATTGGATCCTTGTAACACTTAGACACCAAGGGTGCTGGGGCGCTAGCATTGCATTGAGCCTTCGCCCCACTCCTAGAAGCAGGGCACAGGGTTTGTTTCGGGCAGTGGGCCGTTTGTGATGTGGCTCCCGCCCAGCAAGACCTAATCAAGGCCACTCTCCAGAGCCGAGGGAGACAGAAGTGTGAGGCTAGGACTGCAGGCGGTCTCCAGGCAGCTGCTGCCATTGCTGCGTTGTTTCTAGATTCCTGGAATGGGGCTGTTTGCTAGGCAGTTGCTGTGCCCCCTCTCTGTGTCCTGAGGCAGACAGATTCCCAGTGTCTGGGCCAGGATTATCCCAAAAGCCCCACCTGTCACCACATGTGTGGCCAGCGAGGACCGCTGTGGGTCTATCTGACCTTGTCTTCACCAAGGAGGGCTGAACAGCTGGCCCTGACCCCGCCCCTGGTCTCCGGGGGACTGTCTTCCTGTGAGAACAACAGTCTCCCTTCAGTCTGGGACACTCCCAGGAGAACCATTTCTGCAGCCTGGGAACCAGGAGGGAGGGCAGTCCTGGCCAGCCCCGGCCCCTGTGGCCACCTATGTCTGAGCACCAGGATATCAGGGGCTGGTGTCCCTGGGTCCACGCATGGACACATTGGAGCCCCAGGATCTGGTGAGTTGGGTGGATGGCCACCACAGGGAGGGGTGTTTTTCTGGAGAGGTAAAGAGAAGGCCCAGTCCAAGTGTGTATCTTGATCAGGGATCCCTGGGATCCTAGGGCAGGGCAGGGCAGGGCCTAGTGATCCTGTGGCTGATCCCACTCTTCCTTCCGTCCACAGGAAACCGACCCACACCATTGTCAACTGCTGGTTCTGCAACCAGGATACTGTGGTGCCCTATGGTAACCGCAACTGCTGGGACTGTCCTCACTGTGAGCAGTACAACGGCTTCCAGGAGGTGCGGCATCTCACAGGGAGCGCGAGACAGGACCTTGAGACTACACAGCCATGTCCCTTGTCCCCAGTCTGCCCTGCCTTGCTCCCTTGTCCAAGTGGCAGGGACAGGCTCCGAGAGTTAAGGCGGTTTGTCCCAAAGTCACACCAGTAGCAATTAATGGCCTCAGGGTTCAAACAAACCCAGGTCACTCTAGGCCCTTTCTCTTTGGTTTGCACTAGACCCCGTGTTGACAAATGTCTTCTGTAAAGGACCAAAGTGTAAATGACTTGGAGTGGCATCATACTTTTTGTAGGTGCCAAGGAAGCACAAGAGCGGCATGTTGTTATTGTTAAGTGCCATTGATAGCGATCCTTTATAGGGTTTCTGAGGAGCAGCTGGTGGGTTTGAACCACAGACCTTTTAGTTAGCAGTACAGTGCTTATCCTACAGCACCACACCAGTACTAAAAGCTGCCATAAATAATACAAAAGCAAGTGAACGTGACTGTGCCAATAAAACTGTATTTGTAAAGAAAGGTGGCCAGGCTAAACTGACCTCCCCAGAGCTGTAGGTGTCTGAGGGACCAACCGTGTCAGGTGGAGGTGTGGGTGAGAGGGGTCTGGGCTGGGGACTTCTCTGTGTTTTGCCTGTCAGAGTTCCATGTGAAATTACTTTGGAAGGATGGCTTCTGCTGTTGCATAGAAAGAAAGAATGGGAATGTTTGGAAGCCACCAGCGCTCCCCCAGGGCCTCTCTGCAGTGGGCTTACTGCTTTGAGGCTCCCGGATTGACTGCAGGGTTGTGCCTCCCCTCCCTTAGAACGGTGACTACAACAAGCCGATCCCCGCCCAGTACCTGGAGCACCTGAACCATGGGGTGAGCAGTGCGCCCAGCCCCCAAGACCCCACGCAGCCCCAGCAGTGGGTGAGCAGCCAGGTTCTGCTGTGCAGGCGCTGCAGCCACCATCAGACCACCAAGATCAAGCAGCTGGCCGCCTTCGCCCCACGGGAGGAGGTGAGGACGTGCCCCTGACCCCGGGCTGGTGTCACATTCCACAGTGTGCTGTTCCTTTCCCATCTCCCATTGTCTTTTGGTTGCTGCTATCTGGGAACACCATGGAAACCTTAACTCTGCCCGGTCAGGGTCAGGAGGTTTTGTCCCTGGGCAGAGGGAGACAAGGACCCAATTGGGTCTGTCCTGTCCTCCTTCCTCTGGTTGGGAGGATCTGAGGATCCAGGGGTTGGGAGCAGGGCTTAGCACTAGTAGCTGGCCTGAACTGAGAGCCTTGAGACCCCTGAGCCCACTGTGGTATGCAAGAGCCTAGATTGGCTCATCCTGCCTGCCTACCCTCCATACCTTCAGACTCCCCCAGTTCCAGGGAGTCAGCTGGAAAAGGAGACAGAAAGCTAGAGATGGAGCAGAGAGAGCTGGGACAGACGTGAGCCAGCAAGAAGCCATCAAACTGATAACCCTCCCTGGCCCTTGTTGACGTGGAATTCCCATGGAAACAAGTGGATGAATTGGGGCTGCCCCATCAGCCCCCACTAAGTCCCAAACGCACCAGAGATTTACAGGCCGTGGGCATCACAAGAGGGGCAGCCCTACTCCGTTTCACCCAGCTGCCTAAGCTCGAAGTCTAGGGGCAGGGCCTGAAACAGTTCCCATACTCCCATCTCTAAGTGATAGAAGCTTCTTAAGAGCAGCTGAGCTGCACGCTGGCCCTTCCTTCTATAGCCCACACATCTCCCTGTGAGGTGCGGTGCGGTGCGGTGCACTGAGGGGCAAACAGGTCCACTGTGAGTTGGGGGGCTGGGTCTGCAGGCTTAGCCTCTGCCCCTCCCCCTGCAGAGCAGGTATGACGAGGAGATCGAAGTGTACCGGCACCACCTGGAGCAAATGTACAAGCTGTGCCGGCCCTGCCAGGCGGCCGTGGAATACTACATCAAGCACCAGAACCGCCAGCTGCGTGCTCTGCTGCTCAGTCATCAGTTCAGGCGCCGGGAAGCTGACCCGTCCTGCAGTCAGGTCAGTCACAGGGCCATATGGGGCTACCAGAGTTCTGGGGTTGGTGCAGAAAACCCCTTGGTTGAGAAATCAGCCTTGTCAGGGGGCCTTGTTCCCTCATGCCGTCTGCCTGCCGGGTGTTACCAGTCAGGTGGTGGCAGTAGTGCTTTGTGGTTTGGCTCCTTCAGCACAGATTTGGGGGTGCCTGTGGTATCTGAGCACTTCCTGACCCTGCTGCAGTCATTCCTCACAGTGACGCCCGTTTACAGCCATAGACTCGGGGAGGCTGAGTAATGCGCTCAGGCCAGTCTCCTAGCTGGTGTGCAGTGGACTGGGAATAGGGCCAGGACTATCTGGTTGATACCTGCTATTAGCTTATTGTTACTGTTATGTTCAGTTAATGGACTATTCTGTTTTGTTTTTTAATCAGGTAATAGTAGCAAGTAGGGTTAGAAGTGGAAACGGTCCCCCCGCCTTGTCGTGTGCCTACTGTGCCCTGTAACCCGTTGGTCTGTGGTTTCTGACCACAAGGGTGAGCTTCTGCCATCATGGTAGTCAAATGTGTGCATGGTGGAAACAAAGGCTGGCTCCGTGTTTCAACCCTACACACAGCAGAGCAAACCACTGCCCAGCCCTGTGCCCTCCTCACAATGGTTAGGTTTCAGCCCATTGTTGCAGCCACTGTCAATCCATCCATCTCACTGAGGGTCTTCTCTCTGTTTCGCTGACCCTCTACTTTACCAAGCATGATGGCCTCAGGGATAAGGTCCCTTCTGATAACATGTCCCAAGGATGTGTGAGACAGTGTCTTGCCATCCTGGCTGCTAAGGAGCATTCTGAGTGTACTTCCTCTAAGACAGTTTGTTCTTCTGGCAGTCCATGGTACCTCTAATACTCTTCACCAACACCATAATTCAAATGCATCAGTTCTTTTATCTTCTTTCTCCATTGTCCAGCTTTTATATGCATCTGAGACGATTGAAAATAACCATGGCTTGGATCAGGCACACCTTAGTCCTCAAAGTGTCATCTCTGTTCCTTAACACTTCAAAGAGGTCTATTGCAGCAGATTTACCCAGTGCAATACGTAGTTTGATTTCTTGACTACTGCTTCCATGAGCATTGTGTTGTCATGTGCCATCAAGTCAATTCTGACCCATAGTGACCCTGTATAGGGTTTCCAAGGAGCAGCTGGTGAGCTTGAACCGCCGACCTTGCAGTTCAAACGGCTTTGCAGTCTGGCGCATTAACCCACAGAGCCACACTGAGCATTGTAGATCCAGTGAAAATCCTTGACAGCTTCAAACTTTTCTCTGTTTATCGTGATGTTGTTTAGTGGTCCAGATGTGGGGATTTTTGTTTTCTTTACATTGGCTTGTAATCCATACTGATGGCTATAGTCTTTGATTTTCATCAGCAGGTGCCTCAAATCCTCTCCACTTTTAACAAGGTAGCTTGTGTCATCTGCATAGCACAGGTTGTTAATGAGCCTGCCTCCAGTCCTGATGCTGAATTCTTCATATAATTCAGGTTCTCAGATTATTTGCTCAGCATGCAGATCAAATAGCTGTTGTAAAAGGATACAATTCTGATGCATGCCTTTCCTGATTTTAAACCATTTAGTATCCCCTTCTTCTGTCTGTGTACAGGTTCCTCATAAGCACAGTTATGTGTTCTGGAATTTCCATTCTTCACACTGTTACCTATAATTTGTTACGATCCACAGTTGATATCTCGGCATAGTCAGTAAAACACCAGTAAACATGTGTATAGTATTCTCTGCTTTTAGCAAAGATCCATTTGATGCCAGCAATTAAGAGCCTTCATTCCACATCCTTTCCTGAATCCAACTTGAATTTCTGGCAGCTCCCTGTCAATGTACTGCTACAACCACTTTTGAATTATTTTCAGCAAAATTGTACTTTCATGTGATATTAATGGGATTGTTCGATGATTAACACATATCATTGTTTCACTTTTCTTTGGAATGGGCGTAGTGGATCTCTCTCAGTCAGTTGTCCAGGTTGCTGTTGAGATGGTCTCAAATTCACATGGTATAGCTTTGGGCTTCTGATGGGCTTGTTCGTTTTCTTCAGTTTCACCCTGAACTTGCATGAGCAATCTATGGTCTGTTCCACAGTCCCTGACCTTTTTTTTGGCTGATGACCTTGAGCTTCTCCATTACTTCTTCCTACACATATAATAAATTCCTTCTGACGAGGCCCACACCTGTAGTCACCACTTAGATTGTTGAAAAAGGTATTTGCAAAGAAGAAGTCATTGGTTATGCAAAATTTTGTCGTGGATTTTCCAGCTTTGTTTCCATCTCCAAGAAAATATTTTCCAACTACTGATTCCTCCTCTTTGTTTCCAACTCCTGCATTCCAATCACCAGCAATTATCAGTGCATCTCAGTTGTACTTTAGATCAGTTTCAGACTGAAGAAATTGGTAGAGTTCTCCAATTTCTTTATCTTTGGCTTTGCTGGTTGGTGCATAAATTTGAATAATAGTTGTATTAACTGATCTTCCTTGTAGGCTTATGGATACTATCGTATCACAGACAACATTGTGTTTTAAGATCTTGAAATGTTCTTTTTGATGATGAATGTGAACCCATCCCTCCTAAATTTGTCATTACTAACACAGTAAATCATATGATTGTCAGATTCAGAATGGCCAATACTTGTCCATTTCAGCTCACTAATGCCTAGGATAATGAACTTTATGCATTCCATTTAATTTTTGATGACTTGCCATTTTCTAGATTCATATTTCATACATTCCGTGTTCTGATTATTAATGAATGTACTGCTGCTGTTTCTTCTCATTTGAGTTGTCCCCCATCAGCAAATAAAAGCTTTTCTCCATCTACATCATTAAGGTCAACTCTACCTTGAGAAAGCTCCTGTTCTTCAGTCAGACTTTTGAGTGCCTTACATCTTGAGGGACAGGACTACCACAGGGTCAGCAGTTTGAATCTACCAGTGGTTCCACAGAAAAGATAAGACTTTCTGTTCCCATAGAGATTTACAGCCTCAGAAACCCTAAACAGGTTGCTGTGACTCGGCGTCGAGTCCATAGCATGCAGCTACCACCACCGCCCTTCCTTCTTACTCATCTGTCTTCTTGTGAAAGCTGCACTGAATCCTGTCCACCATGCTGCCATTTGAACCAGCAGCGCCATAGCTTCCAGCATTGTCACACCACTGTGTATGTATGACAAACTGACAGATGTGTGACTCATAAAACTCCCTTATCATGGCCATTGAATGCTGTGCATTGTTTTGTTTTTTCATTTAATTCTTGCCAGTGTTACTTTTACATTTTTTACAATACCAGTTTACATCACAGTAGGAATTCTGGTGACAAAATGCCTGCTAATTCCTTTGGAATGATGAGGTGGCTATGATGTAGAAGGTTTCTCTAGGAGGCTCTTACGGACATGTTACTATTGTTAAGTGCTGTCGAGTTGGTTCTGATTCATAGCAACCCTGGATAGGGTTTCTGAGGCTTTAGATCTTTGTGGGGAGCAGTAAGCCTCATCTTTCTCCCACAGAGCAGCTGGTGGACTCTAACCACCTGCTTTGTGATTTGCAGTCCAGTGCTGATCCTACAGCATCACACCAGGAGTCCTATAGGGTGTGGAGGCCCAGATAAGGGGCAAGTCCATGGAATAGGAAGTGAGGTTGAGAATCTAAGCCTAGAACATGAGTTTCCAAAAGCCAAACCAACCCACTGCTATCAGGTCGGTTCTGAGTCAGAAGGACCCTCTACAGGGTCTGGAGCTTTAGGAGAATCGATAGCCTTTCTTTGTCCCACACGGTGCCTGTAGCCTTGCAGTTAGTAGGCCAGTGTTTATCCCACAGCACCAGGGCTCCAAGAGTCTTGGGCTGATGCTCTCTGATCACAGGAAACCGTAGCCGCAGTGAGTGGAGCGGCCCTGGCCAAGCTCCACACCAGCCACAGCTGCTGACTGGCCTCCCTTTCTCCTCCAGAGCTTCTGCTCCTCAGCATTGAAGGCCCCACTGCAGGTTATCGTGCTCCGCGCCCTCGCCTTCCTGGCCTGCGCCTTCTTGCTGACCGCCACATTCTACAATGCAGATGACCCTTTCGCCCCTGGGGCGGCCCTGCCCCCTGCCCTGCCACCTGGTGGCAATGGTTCGGCTGCACCTGCCAATGGCACTGCCCCAGGAGGCGAGGGCTGGAGGCAGCTGCTGGGGTTGCTGCCAGAGCCTGTGATGGAGAAACTTCAGGAAGCCTGGGCCTTCGGGCAGAGCCACCAGACGGGTGTGGTGCTTCTGGGCCTGCTCACCTGCCTGCTGGCCATGCTGCTGGCTGGGCGTCTCAGGTGAGTGTAGGACCAGCAGGGGTGGGCAGGCTTCTGTGCCCTATCTCAGGGCTTTGGAAAGAGGTTACTCAGGGCAGAGCCAAAAGCCCAGGTCTGCTGGCTGAGTCAGTGTATCGGCCCCAGGTGGAACTCAGGTATAATTGGAACAAGGCTGCTCTCCAGGGGCTGGGGGTCTTGTGAGCAAGACAGCAGCCCTGAGAGGCAGCCCCCTACCCACCCCTGTGTGTTGGGGCCAGAAGCACCTCGGCTATGAAATAGGGGTGACGATGAATTCAGTGGGACTTTTTGGTCCTTTTCTGTCCTTGCCTGAGCAGCAGCATTCATGTTATCTCCCTCCTCGGGGTGACTTGAGGCTTCCTGTATCCTGAAAAGCCAGGTCCTAAGGTCCATATTCTCTCTTGGCTGCAGGATGTACCCTGCGTGGGGCGGGGCCAATGGGCCTAGGATGAAGGAGCCAGGGAGGGCTAGGCGGGGAGGGCGCTCACTCTGCCCCACTCTCCCCTGCAGACTCCGGAGGATTGACGCCTTCGCCTCCTGCCTGTGGGCCCTGCTGTTGGGGCTGTACCTAGCAGAACAGTACCTGCAGGCTGCCTCGCCCAGCTGGCTGGACACACTCAAGTTCAGCACCATGTCCCTGTGCTGTCTGGTGGGCTTCATGGCAGCCGTGGCCACGAGGAAAGCAACAGGCCCACGGAGGGCCCGCCCCCGAAGGTCAGAGAAGCAGCAGTGACTGCAGGGGGAGGACAGACAGACAGACAGATAAGACCTGAGCTTTGCCCCCAGCCTAGGGCAGAGCCTCTCACTTGCTGACCCCTCTTTCAGGCCTGCCTCACTCCTACCCACCCAGCCTAGCCCCAGCATTTCCCCCTTGTCCTTCCTGAGAGCGCCCCAGGCCTAAGGGGCTCCCTGAGGCCCCTCAAACTGCTCTTGCTTCTGCCACCTCTCTGCCCTGTGGCTTCCTGCTGGCAGCTCCAGGCCCCCACCCTCACCTCAGCCTTTCCTGCCTCTGACCCCATGGCTGAGAGGTACAGCTCTGCCCTTGGCTTCCCGCTTGCCTCACCCCGTCTCTTAAGCCCTGGGCACATACAGACTGGACCCTTGCTGCACAGATAGGCAGGCGAAGTGGTGGGGACCCGAGCAGGCCCCACCCCATCTTCGTCCCCTTCCTCCTGCTTGTTGCCAGGCCAGCCTTGCCAGCAGAGCTGAAAGGGCCAGGCCTATCCCTCTGGGGCTACCCTTAGCCTCCTTCCCTGGGAGTCCTGCTTTTCCTCTTGGCCTGCAGCTGTTCTGTTTATAGACAGCCTCGGCTGGGAGGGACCCCAAGTCCAGCAGCAGTCTCCCCCTTCTTCATCAAATGATTGTCTGGGTCTGCTGTGGGTCAGACCGTGCCAGCCACACACGCCCTGTTCAGCTGGGTCCTCCATGCTCCTCCTGGCAGGCAAGGCCGGGCCTTCCTTGTTCAAGGCTGCCAGGCCCTGCACCCACTTCTACTAGTTTTTTCTGCTCAGCCTGTATTCTGTCTGGAACCAAGGTGTAGGGCTCAGACTGCCAGGGCCAGTGGCCTACCATGATGCCAGGCTGCTTCTCCGGAGCCTGTTGCTGTTCCCAGCCCCCTCGGGTCCTGGCAACCATCTGCTCTCCCCCTCCATAGCTCCCTCCAGGCACCCCCACCCCTTGAATCAGGTAGGGAGTGGGGGCACTGTGGGCGAACTCCAAGTCCCTGGGAGGCCAGCCCATAAATGCCACCTCCTAGAGTCAGCCACTCCAGGAAAAGACCCAGTGTGTGGCCTTGACGGCTGAGGGACCTTGGCTAGGCCCCAACTATTCCAGCCTCAGTTTACCCTCTACAAAGCCCAAGAGTGTACCTTCTGCAGATCTCAGGCTCCTCCTCCCCTTCCCTGCTGTCCCTGCTTCTGTCTTTCATGTGAGCCTTGCTGCTGGTGCCCGCTCATTCCAGCCTGAGTCCCTGCTCACATCCCCAGGGTCAGGGCCTGGAGCAGGCCCCAATGTGAGACCTACGGCATAGCCCTGGGCAGCCAGAGCACGTGACCTTTGGGGGCCTCCGTTTCTTTTTCTGTACTGTGGCACCAAGTGACTGTCTCCAGCTCAGAAACTCTGGTGAGGCTACATGAACCAGTGCATGCTGGTGTCCTTGAAGGATGATCCCAGTCAGGGCCACACCTGAGGGGGCTACACAGAAATGTGCCCTCTGGTGACTCTAGGTGGACTGCCACTCACCACACTAAGCCTAATCTCCCAGGAAGTAGACCCAGAGGGTGCAGGAAGGCAAACAGATGACTAGTGCATGGGGCACACTCGGCCCCTGGTCTGAGGGGCTGGTTGTATGAGCACCCTTGCACTTGTGTGGTGGGACCCTCGGTACCCTGGTGGCCTCTGTAGAGCCCTGCAGAGGGGACACATGTGATGTCCATGTCCCTGTGTTCCAGGTCTGTTATATTCAAGGGGGTCCTGAAACATTGCCCCTTCCCATGTAACCAGATAGTAGCCCCCTCCCCTCAGCATCTGTCTATGTGTAAAGACCCTCAGGGTGAGGAGAGTGGGTCAAAGCCTGGGGTTATGTGGGTGCCTCTTCCGGTAGAGAAGGACCCACTGGCATGTGCCCTGCCCTTCCGGACCCCAATCAGGGCCCATCAGAGAGAAAAGCAGGCGGCGGCCACCTCAGTACCCCCTTCCCTATTCTCAAGGAAGCTGACAGTGAGATGCTAATTACTGCTTGGCTTGGCATTGGGTAGACGCAGGACATCTGTGTGTGTGTATGTGTGTGTTTAAATTAAATTATTTATAATAACCAGCTCTCTTGCTGGCCAGGTGCCCCTGCTAGGCAGATATCTTTGCTGCCCTCTAGGGGAGTCCGTAAAAACTTACGGGAGAAGACCCTTTGAGCAGTTCCTGGTCTTAGAGTTGTGTGTGACTTTTAAATTACCCCTGTCCCTTGAAGTTTCCTTCCTTGGAGAGTATTCCAACCCTTCTGATGTTATTGAAATGACAACAGCAGAGGAAGGGCTGGTGTCCCTGGGACTGTGGCTTGTTACTGCAAATGTTCCCCCGACCAGGGCAGGAGTGGGGTCATCCAGGTGCTGCACCTGGCTGCCTCTGGCCTCTTCTGAGTGACCCGAGAAGGCTTCTCCAGTAGCACTGGTCCAGGACAGACCTCCAGGACTCTCTCTCCTCCTCGGGGCCCCCGCTCGCCTGTCTGTGTAGTAGACTGTGGAGAATTGTCTAGTCCCTCTGATCACTGTAAAATCCGCTCCTAGCCACAGACGCCTGTTTTCATGCCGTGTTTTCAATAAATGGCTCCCGAGCCCACTGTCCACCGGTTTGGCTTCAGGTGCCATATCTTTTCTGTGTATTCTGTCGTGTTCCTCTAAAAGGGCTTCCAAGGCCGGGAAGGGGGTGGGGCTTGGGTGTAGGCACGTCCTCAGGTGTCCTGGCCCCTGACAGCTCTCTCCCCTGCCTGGTTGGGTCCCAACGAGTGGCTGCTTAAAGTCTTGTCCTCTGTCCTCCGCCCTCCACCAGGGCTGTGTGGTTAGGGAAGCGTTGGGTCAGATTAGGATGTGCCTGACCCTTCCCCGGCACCACTGTCTTCCGAGATTGGGTTCTGGGCTCTGTGTCCCTCTCAGAGGCCTGGTTGAGGGTGCAGGACAGTAGAGCGGGGTACTTGCTCCAAAGGGAACTCTGTTACTTTGGAAGCTCTTAAGGGGTATCCCAGGGGCTCCCTGGACAGGAACAGGCATCTCAAGGTCCTTCCTGGGCTCACTCGGCTCCTTCTGCACCCTCTTCCAGGGCAGGGCCCTACAGTGAGGGCTGGTGAGGAGAGTTCACAGCTGGCTCCTTGCAGAGTGCACTTTGCTGAATGTGGTACTATGACTCTATCACAGTGAGAGGATCGTGTCTCCACAGCTGCCTCCCCCACCAGTGCCAACACAACCAGTGACACCCGAGACCAAGTAGCACATTTGCTTTACCTGGAGCCAGCCAGCCCACACAGAACCCCTTGTCTGTCTGCGCCCACCACAGGGCTGGCGGTCACTTGAACCCTGGGCCTGCCTGCTTCTGATAGCATGCGGCCTCTGTGCGCTGCCCAACTTGGGGTGACCACCAGAAGACCAGCACAGGGTCCTGCTGCCATCTGATGGGTGTGCATGCCTGCACGGTGGGGGGAGACGGCACCCACTCCTACAAAGGCTCGCACATTGTCAGAGGTCCTATTGCACCCTGGCTGTCACTACAGGTGCCTATAGGCGCCTTGTAGCCAGTCCCCAAAGCCAGATGGCATCGCGCTTCTAAATGGCCATGCAAAATTGGTTTTCCTGCTTTCAGGTGGAACCATCCCCCGTGTCCTTTTGGGGCTGGAAGGGTCGGGAGGGCAAGTGGGTAGAGCACAGGCATCTGGTCTGCGGCTGTGCTGGATGAGCCTGGTGAGCACCTGCCTCGATTTTTCTGGGTCCCCAAACACTGGGTTTTGCCTGTGGTGCTCTGGAAGGCATTAGTGTGGTCACAGGATTCCCCAGGACGTCATCAGCGAACCCCACACTTAGCGGACCCCATACTTGCCCTGTATGATGTTTTTAAAAGGCAGGGAGGTGAACTCTCAGTGGGACTGGAACCGTAACTTGGCTAGTGGCACCCTAAGCGGTCAATCAGGCCGCACGCCAGGGGCGTGCCCCCAGCCAGCCCCCAGCCTGCAGGAGGGCAGATGTCAGTGGGCTGGCATGTCCCTGGGGACCGAGGTAAGGCTGGGCTTCCTGTCAGATGGCAGACTAATATATTAACTGTTCTCTCCCTCTCTGCCTTCTGTAATTGGTTGCCTTAATCAGAAGCATGGTTGGCCTTCTGGCTTGGGGCCCTCAGGGCCTGTGGTGTGATTTGGTCTCTTCTGTAGTTAAAGAGACACTGTCCCCTTCTGTGTGTTGGCCAACACTTGTAGGTGTTGCCCACAAGGCTTCCCTTGCCTTACAGTTTGGTGTGTGGCTTGGCCTGTGAGAGCCTCTTTCTAAAGGGAGCTCCAAAGCTTGCCCCTCTGTGTCACATGGTGCTACAGAGAAATGTATGCAGTGTCCAAGAGGTGGCCCCCATGGGCAGCATGGCAGTGGGACCCGGCAGAATCGGGCCCTGGAGAGCTGAGGGTGTGTAGGTTACCTACTATCTGGCTTCCAGAACTCCTGCGGCCCTGCTTCCCATGGTCCGAGCTCGGCTGTTCTGTCTGGGGGTAGCTGAGGCTGCCAGAGAGCTCTGGGCGCAGACCAGAAGTGGCAAAGGGGAGGAAACCCATTAGCCTTGATGGAATGCCTGGCTCAGTACTGGGCACTTTTGCTTCAAGGCCAAGGGAGGCTGTGAGGTTGTCAAGGGCGACAGTGTCACTTTAATACCGAGACCCGTAGTGGGTCTAGTTTGCTGTGAGCCTGAGTAGGGGGGGCATGCTGACACCTTCCAGCCACCCGCTCCTAATGCCGTGAATGTGGTGGGACTACTTTTCCGCTTCAACTAACGCACGCCTCCTCTGGGTACCTCTTTTCAGACCCTCCTACACAAGGGACAGGGGCTCAGACCAGCCATGTGAGGCCACCTGGGCTGACCCCTCTCCCTTCTCCCACGCCTACTGGGCTCACACAGGTACTTCCCAGGAGACCCTGCTGGCCTCTTCCCCACCGTTCCCAGTCTGACCGCCCCCTGCCCTGGGGTTGGAGGCGTCTCTCCGGCTCTGCTCATGTCCGGCTTCCTACCCCTCACCAACCAGCAGCTGTTCCGGTCACCCCGACGGGCCTCGCCCTCCTCCCTGCCAGGCCGCCTCCACCGGGCCCTCTCACTGGGGACCATGCCCTCTCTGACCCGAGCAGGTAAGAGGCACATACACTGGGCATGGGGTCTCTGGGGAGGTAGGAAGTCGTATAAGAGAGCAAGCAGGTGGTGTTACTGTTATCAATACTGGCCGAGCGGAGCCCAAGGACCCGCACATCCACTCTGTTGTAGCTGGCCTTGGCCAAGTGACTTAGCCTCTCTGAACCTGTTTCCCCTCAAAGCCCTGGAGCTGGGAGAGGAACCTTCCTGGGGTAGTTGTCAGAAAGCAGCAGCCTTGATAGGTGCTGAATGAATACTCGTGGTTGATGGTTTGTCCTTTACTGCGATGGTCATCATGACTATTACCAGTTATGATTGAGACTCCAGGAGCAGCCTTCGCAGAAAGTCTAGAAGGTCAGGGACTCCGTGCAGGTCCCTGGTCAGCATCCTGAGCATGTCTGTCCTTGGACCCAGTGTAATGAGGGCCTGGGACCAGTTGGTGGCTGAGAGCTCACAGCGTTCAGAAACAGGCCTTCCTCTTCTCCCCGTACCCTTCTTGACGGGCTCTGCAGGCTGGGAATCAAATCCAATTCTAAACGTACTCCAAGCTCCAAGCCTCTGCCATTTTTGGGGAAGCCCCCTATCATGGACCGGGTTTGCATCGTTCTCCTCTGGGCACTGGGTTGGGGGGCTGGCTTCCTGGGTGCCAGGTGTGGTGCTGGGGGCTGCAAACTGGGACCCCTTCCTCAGAGCCTGGTAGGAGCTTGGCCAAACCAGCAGAAAGAGGGATTCTCGAAGAACCTTCAGGTGGGATGACATGAGGCCGGAGTTGGGGGAAGGGGGTGGCTGTCCATACTGGTCACGTGGCACTCACCTATTCTTTCTTTCTTTATTCGGTTCTTGGCACTTGGGGAGCACAAAGCTCATGAAATGGAGTCCCGATATTTGGAGTGTGCTTGAATCAAAACAGGGCGTTGTGTTCTGTGCTCCCTGAGCGCCCACTCAGGCTGTATGGGGCTGGGGCTGGTAGAGAGCTAGAACTCAGGTGGTTGGGAAGCTGGGCCTCGTGCCTGGGGAAAGGAGGACTGGGGCAAGGCCCAGCTCTAGGTGTTGACACCTACCCTGAGCTTGAGGTTTTTTGTCCACAAAGTGGGGCTGGTTGTTTGGGCCCAGCCCACCTGAGAGAGTGTATAGGTTCCAGTCAGAGCCCCTGTTCTCCAGAAGTCCATGTGAGTGACCAAGGTCGGGGGCCATGGCCCGAAAGTGGCAGTGCAGGCTGACCTGGTCCCCACTTTTTCATTCTAGACTCAGGGTATCTGTTCAGTGGGAGCCGTCCCCCCTCTCAGGTGACCCGGTCAGGGGAGTTTCCTATTCCAGGTAAGGAGAACTGAGAATGCCAGGTGTGTCAGGAGGGGGCTCCAGAGTCAAGTGAGATGGGGTGCAGGGTGGTCCGCATAGGCTTTGGGGTCAGCTCTGTGACAGACCCCAGATTGACATCGCTAGTGGCCCAGACTTGGGCAAGTGACTTGGCCCCCTGTGCCTCAGTGTCTGCACCTGAGAAATGGGGTGAAGGTCATCAGGACTAGAAGATGAGACCCCAGTGGAGGTGCTGCTCTCAGGGACTGGCCTCCAGGGACTTGGGTTAGCTGACCATCCATCTCCAGAGGGTGTGCCTGTGTGGGCCCACAGCCATTGGGTGGGGAAAGGTCAGGGGCTTAGACAGAAACTGAGGGTGAGGGGACATGGTTGAGGCTCTATGAGTCTCCCACCCCTCTGTCCCCGAGTTGCCCTCCAACCTGTGCTTGTCTCCTGGTTAACATTTGGAAGCCCCTGGAACAGGTAGCACACAGGCAGTGGTAGTACAACCGCAGCAACTTCATGCTTTCTTCCCTCCCCAGACTACTTCTCTCTGCTGTCTGGGAGCTGCCCCTCCTCGCCTCTCCCCTCCCCAGCGCCCTCTGTGGCCGGTTCCATGGCCTCCAGCTCCAGTTCTATGCGCCACCGCAGACCCCTCATCAGCCCCGCCCGGCTCAACCTGAAGGGCCAGAAGCTACTGCTGTTCCCATCACCCTCCGGGGAGACCCCCAACACACCCAGCAGCTCCGATGAGCCCTCCCCCCACGACGGCAGCCTCTTCACCATTGAGTCGCCCCGGGTGCCGCCGAGTGTGTCCCCGAGGGACACTAAGCACACTGTGGGTACGGCTTGGCAGGGTTCTGGGGACCAAGGGCTAGCAGGGGACGTGAGTGCTTGGTGTGGGAAGGGGCCAACGTTCCTCAGGAAGGCGCCATTGCTCAGCCTCATAGGGCTGCCACAATTCTGTCCATGTGTTCGAAGCCCCCTCGCAGCCCCAGACAGCCCAGTTTGGAGCTCCTTTGGACACTGTCTTCTGCTGACCGATCATCTCCACTTCCATTGCACTTGGCCTTTGGGTCCTCTGTCCCTCTGGATGAATCTGAAACTGGTCACCCACTACCGGGCCGCATCCAGACACAGACTTTTGTGTTATCAGACCATATTGCTGAACAGTTTAAATGTTTTAGTCAGGCTCCAGCATTTAAAATCTAGAAATTCTGTGTGAGTGCTATAAGCCTGTGTCTCTTACAACATCAGAAGATCTAGCCGCTGTAGGCCTGAATCCTGGCCAGGCAGGTCACCCTCTAGCAGCTCCACTGTAGGGATAGGGATTTCCTACCCAGCTTTCATACCACCTGCCCTGAAGGAATGTAGGAAGAGCTGAAGGGGGAGCTGCCTAGGGGGTGAGAGGTGGAGTTGCCACATGTTTGTCCCCGGGGTAAGCTGGGAGCACCTGCCGAGCCGTCCCTTCTCTCTGCAGACATGGGAGCAATGCCGGAAGGAAGCCGCACCTGCAACCGTTCCATCAAGAAGGAGGATGACTCGTCCCAGTCGTCTACCTGTGTGGTGGATACCACCACCAGAGCGGGCTGCGAGGAGGCCACTGCCTGGAGAGGTCCGTGTCCTGGTACTGTGGGGAGGGGTGGGGGGCTACAGGTCTGGAGGAGCCCCCAGCAGGAGTTGGGGCTACATCTGCCAGGTTCACAGAAGCCCCACTCACTGAAATGGAAGTCAGATCCTTAGCAGCAGCCATATTTCAAGGGCTGCCACCCTGGAGCAGCATGTAGGGAGCCCTCTCTTACCTGTGCTGGTCAGCAGAGTGTGACACAGGCCAGCTGTGACTGTGTTGTAGGAACTTGGCAGGGATGTACCCCCTGTGTGTTGATGAAGATAGACAAGCAGCAAATGTAGCCTTTCTGAAAAGGGCCATTTTGAGCTGAACCTCGAAGCTGGGAGTGAGGCATATGCAGCAAACTGGCAGCAGCTGGCCTCAGAGGCTCCCTGAGCCCCAGGCTCCTCATCTGTAAGTGTGGGGTTCCCTTTCCACCTCCTCCTTGCTGAGGTACAAGCATGAGGAAGCCAGCCCAATGCCCACCCAGTGGTACAGGCTTGGAAATGGCTGAGTCTCTGTTCCCGACCCTTTCAGGTGGGGAGGCTTCTGGGTTCCTGAAGGTATAGGGAGAAGGTGCCACCCACCTAGGAAGGTGCCTTTGAGACCCCAAGAGCTCTGTCAGCTGGTACCCTGTCCACATGTCCCCCTGAACTTCCCGCCTGTCTCTACTCTTGCAGGTCTTTTTGGCCCCTCCCTTGTCTGGGGCCTTCTGGCCGTGAGCTTGGCTGCCAACGCCGTCTTCACCTCAGCCTACCTGTACCAGAGCTTGCGCTGACCCATCCGAGGCCCAGCCTCCTCCACCACTGCCTCTGCTTGCCCCTTGCAGGCCCATGATGGCATCTCCCTGTGAGAAGAAAGGGGTGGCCTCCTGCCCTGGCCTGAGTGGGTGTCCCTGAACCACACCCCTTGCCCACTGACTTCAGGGCTGTCACCGGGAGTGGTTTTGGTGCTGGCACTCTGATCCTAGGACCCCCAGGGACCACCCAGCCCAGCCCAACCTGGCAAGAAGGCCAATATTACCTGGAGAGGGGCTGGCAGGGGTCTGATCTCACGCTGGTGCTCACTCTGGGAGCCGCCTTAGGTGCCTCAGAGCCTAGAAGTCTGGGTGGGGGAGGTCACCAACCACAACCTCTCCCCATGAGCCAGCCCTGGGCAGGCCCCTTGAGGAGCTTGTCCTTTCACTTTCCTGCCCCCTGGCTCTGTCCTCTGGCTGGCTGGAGACTCCTTCGAGCTCCTGGGCCCTCAAGACCAGTATAAGCACCTGTCCGCCCTCTCCTGCCCCCTCTGTTTTGTTACCTCTGGTGTGACCCAGTGTGGCGCTAAAGGATACTGGACTGGTAACCGCAAAGTTGGCAGTTCAAACCCACTAGCCGCTCTTGGAAACCCGATACAGGGTCACTCTGAGTCAGAACTGTCTCAACGGCACTTCACAACCACAAAGTGACCCTTCTAGGAAGCACGGAACCTGGGTCTCCCTGCCCCTGTTTTTTCCCTCACTAGACTCCTCAACCTGCAAGGGGCAGTTGTTAGCCACTGGGTGTCCCAGCCACCTAGCTAGCGTTCTTGCTTCACTGTCCTTGGCTCTCACCACTGGCCCTCTAGATGATGGTGCAGGGCTGCTGGCTTACCTTCCACTCATGTCAGGGATGGTGGGTGTCCCATGCTGTCCCCAGAAGTCTGGCACTGGGACTCTCGCAGTGCTGTGAGGAGGGAGGAACTGTGTGTCCCTGTGGGTGTCCACCACCTTTCCCCGGGACCCTTGACCTTAGGTGAGGGTGCTGGGGGGATGTGTGTGGATAGACTCGGGCGGGCCTCAGTGAATCCTGGAGCTTGTTGCGGGAGGGTCTTCACTCATTCAGGGATAAAGGTTCATTTTATTTTTGTACACATTTTTGCAGGGAAGGCATTCTGCCAACGAACAGACACCCACTTCTCACTGCCAGGGAGGTTGCATTTTTTTAAGCTTTGGGTGCTTTTTTAATTGTGTTTTTAACGTGTGGGGAAGGGCTTCTTGGACTTCACCCTTCCTCCTCTCACCCCACTGCCATCCCAGAGCTGCTGAATGTGGGGGTTGGGGTGTCAGGCCTGAGTCCAACTGCCAGACCCAGTTCACTCAGAGGTACTGCCTTGACCCTGTTTGTGCAATGACACGTGTCAAGTTTTTAAGTTTTTATTTTTGCTTAACAAAGCCAAACTCCTTTCCCGATGACCTTCCTCTCTGGCTCTGGGATGCACCCAGCAACTTCTCCTACTCAGATGCCCATCCCTGCACCCGGCACCCTGCAGGGGGAGGCAGGCTGGTGAAGGAGCGGGTGTTACACTTAAGTTTTGTTTCAAACAAAAAACATACCTTATTTTTCTTTACAAAAGCAAAAAAATGAAACCAAAAAAGATACCAACCTTTGGCTTATGCCTGTGTCTGTGTGCTCTCTGCTTGCTTCATGTGCTCTGGCCCCCGGACAAAACCCCAAGCAGGGTAGGGGCCAGCCCTCAGCCCAGGGGGGTGACTCCTTCTATGTGTTGGTTCACTGCCAAGCTTGCCCGGGGACAAGGGGGAGCAGGCAGCAGGTGAAGAGAGGAGAGTGGAGGCACAGGACTACTGAGCAAAGAGAGGGATGGGCGCCCCACTCTGAGCAGACGGACGCGATGAGCTTGTCCCCTCAAGACCATCTCACTCAGCCACCCTGGCCACTCTAGGTTGCAGGGAGAGGGTCCACGAGCAGAACTAGAATGGAGGCTGAGCTCCTGAGCCCACTTGGACCACCTGTTGTTAACTTGCTAGCCTCTGGGCATCAGCACCTGCAGGTCAGAGCTGGCTGCACCACCAGTCCAGGACCTCCTCCCTGCCCACCCAGGAGATATGGATCTAGAGTCCAATCAGTGGTTGAATTGGACGTGTAGGGCCCAGATGATAGATGGTCTTGGCTGCACAGGTGCATGTGGGAGCTCTGCATGTCCCACGCTGGGCACTGAGCCTCATATGGATGGATCAAAGACAGCCTGTGGTCATGGTGGGGCTGTGTGTTCATGGCCCAGTCTCGCTCTGGAATAGGACGCTATCTGGGCTGATTAAGACTCATCCAGGACAGAAGACGCTCCCAGCAGGTCCAACTGAACAAGAGCCTTGGACAGTCAGGAAACAGTCCTCACCCAGAAACCAAGCTATAGGTCCAGCCACGACACCCCATGATGTCCCTGGAGGCCTGGCACAGCCTACCATCTCCTTATCTAGTGCTGCTTGTGACTAACGGTCACAAGACTGTGGCTTTAACAGTTACTTTTACAGTCTAGGCGACTAGGTCCAAATGCAGAGTACCAGCTCGAGGGGAACAAAGACTTTCTGTTGGTTCTGGGAAAATGTTCCTGTCTCTTCCGCTTCCATTTCTTGGCTCCTTGGAGATTTCAGGGGGTATGGTATCTGTCTTCCCCATCTCTGCTTGGATGGTTGCTTAATCTTTTCTATCTCAAGTTAGAATTTACAACACATTTTGAGGGGGGACACAATTCAATCCATAATACCCACTTTGAATGAAGTAAAGGTTTACAGAGCAGATTATCAGTTTTACAGTCAACACCCCATATACTTTGTTAAATGACAATGATTGCAGTCCCCTCTGTGTACCAACAATTACCAGCATTTACCTCTGTTCACTTTATGCATTCCTCCTGTGTCTCCCAACACCTTTATCTTTCCTCTGCTAACCTTGTATATTGCCTGTCCTGTCACTCATGGTAACATGTCTACCCTGTAGCCCTTAAATAATTTTTCCCTCCCCATAACCATCATACATTATATTTCTTTTATCAAGAAAAACTTTTCTACCTCTACAAGAAAAAGACAAATAACCCAATTAAAAAGTGGGCACAGGATATGAACAGACACTTCACTAAGGAAGAGATCTGGGCAGCCAACAAACATGAAGAATTGTTCACGATCACTAACTATTAGAGAGATGCAAATCAAAACAACAATGAGATATCATCTCACACCAACAATAACAGCAAGTAGAGGACAATAAATGCTGGCGAGGATGTGGAGACACTAGGACACTCCTGCATTGCTGGTGGGACTTCAAAATGGTCCAACCTCTCTGGAAAGCAATATGGTGTTTCCTCAGAAGGTTGAAAATAGAAATAACTTATGATCCAGCAATCCCTCTACTTGGTATTTACCCACAAGAAAAACGAGCCACAACACGAGAAGATATATGCACACCAATGTTCATAGCAGCACTATTTACAATAGCAAAAAGGTGGAGACAACCAAAGTGCCCATCAACTGAAGAACGGATAAACTGGTACATACACACAGTGGAATATTATACTACCTTGAAGAATAACAAGGAAGCAGCAAGCCACCGCATAACATGGATGAACCTTGAGGACATTATGCTGAGTGAAATTAGTCACAAAAGGAGAAATACAGCATAGGACCACTATTGTAAAATACTAAGAAAAAGAACTCATACTAAAAGGTGGGGGGTGGGGGTGGAGTCTGCTGGTTACTGGGATATGGAGAGTGGGGTGAGGGGAGGGAGGGGAAGGTGGATCACAGGGTATGGATTAGACACGAAAGTTTGGGTGCTAGGGAGGGGGGCAATATACAAGGAGGGAGAGGGAAACGGAAGAACAAAGCAGATGGGAGAGCAAGTAGGTATGTTTGAATGGACTAAGTGGGACAGAGGTAAATAACGATGCATGCACAACCTTGGAACTACAGGGCTCTGGGATACAGAGATTGACCCATGGTTGGAATGGGGAAAAGTGGGGAATAATGTTAAGATGCTCGGCAGTCTTTTGAATCTTGGTTTTCCTTACATTATAATATAAAATAGACACCGGAGGGGGAGAGAAAGGAATAGTCAGAAACATCACCATAGAAAGCTTGTAAGTCTGTCTTCTGCCTATAACTGATTGGAATACCTAAAATGGGGCTACAAAGTGCCCAGTGAAGGAGGATTCCTGCGGAGCCTTTGCAATACATAAGACGATAGGTAGAAGCCTGAACCATATCCAGATCTCCAGAGATGGGAAATTCCAACTTGAAAGGACAAGCAAACCAATCTGGAGCGGCTAGAAGAACAGAAGATACTTCTTGAAAGAATGACCTACAGGAAAAATACAAAACAATAGAGGCAGATGGACTGCTACTACAAGAACAAACAAATTGCTTGTCCAGGAAACATCAAGGCAAGTCGTTGGGTCCCCTTAATGCAAACCCCCTTCCAAGACTAAGACTCAATGGAAATACGGGCCCTGATTGGTGACCACAAGCATCGCCAATAGGGGGAAGTGGGGTAAAAGCAGCAATGAAGCGGCAAGCTAAGCCCTCCAATGTTCAGTGGGCTTCTGTGGACCCAGATGGGGACCTGGTTGGCCAGCAGTGTGGGGAGACCTGGGGACTCCTGGGCCCAGAGTCAGCGTCCTGGCCACAGAGGACTAGAGTGGAGAGTGAAGCTACCAGCTGATAGGAAGAGAGGGCATACGCACAAGAACACCCACACTTGCAGATGGTACCCATGTGACCTGGTCCTGATGAATGGATGATCAGAACTCAACCAGGAGAAGAAAGAAGAGGGGAAAAAAAAGAGTGATCTGAGACAATTTGATGAACTTGATCTTCACCTATGGATGCAGTAACCCAAAAAAGGGAACAAAACCCTCACAGCAAGAAACATTCCCACCCCCTCCACACACAGAGTAGACAGAGATGGGCAACTTGGACATTGGATACCCAAATGGCGGGGAGGAACCACAAAGGCAAGAAGTGACTGG